TTTAAGCAGCGATATAACTCTGCATTCAATTTTACAGCATCTGATAATGCCTTTAAAATGTTGCTTCTCTCCAAAGGTTCATTTTGGTCGTTCAACACCATGCTTAAAACCGATGATGATAGAGCCAGATTTGCTGCTGCTATATCTTGGTAATGTGCAAAAAAATTGTCACGTTTTATTGCCTCTTCTTTCATGGAGTGCAGAATCTCGGCATTTATTTTAGGCGCTACGAGATTGAAATCCTTATGTTTCCTTGGAATCAGCTCTAAGATTTCCTTCTTCTGCTCCTTAGGCAGTCCTAGACGGAGGTATTCTGACACTCTTAATGCCACGTCGTCGATTAGATCCAATTCGTTCGACGTCTTGTTTTCGCGTAGCTCGCCTAGACAAGAAGCCACTTCCTCTTCATTGACGTTAGCTGCTTTGACTGAGGCCTGTTTAACCTTGTTTGGGCTTTGATTTTCCTCGCTGGATTGCGTTGCATCTACGCAAAAACAGAACCAAGACACGTTACGATTAATCACCAAGTCTATGTACTTGTAGTTTTAGGTTACATAACCCCTATTTTTTAGGTGGTCTCTCTCAGCTATGTCTCTGCTTATACAAGAGCTCAGCTGGCATATATTGCGTAATTCGCGATGATACTTTGCTTGCTTTGCCTCGACTTATGTACGAGTTCAGCATCGTATCCCTTGTAATGAAGGTTATTTTTCAGCTCTGCCTCGACTTGGGTTCGAGTTCAGCTAGATTTTGCAGCGATTCGATTACATATTCGAACTAACCTGATTCGTCAGCATCTGTTGCCATTATGTCATTTTGTTGCAACAATCTCAGCTTCTTTGCCATAGCTGCCATTTCTTTCTCAAGCTTTTCGACCTCTGTGGACCGTTTACGCTTCCTCGGCTGTTTCTCTTTCTCGGATGATGATCCGGAGCTCATTTTATCGTGAATATTGCGACTTAACTCTACGACGCACAAAGGAATAATGACGGTAGCGCGCCACGGGTAGTGGCGAGATAGAGAGCAGAGCACCCTATGGTACGAAGTTTTGAGTCTCTGAACGAGTGCGACATCTACGTCGAAGGAGTAGTACTACCAAGTAATCTTGAGAACAAGGAACGTAGAATAATTGGCAGTCGGTTGCTCGTCAGGTCCATGAATGGATCCAGTGCCCATCGTCGACAAAATCCTCTCGCCATTATCTCGTTCAGGTGCTCAGCACAAGAGCCATTTTTTCTCTCGAGTTCGGGAAGTAACCAAAAGTCTTCTGAGTTCACAAAAACGAAGCAGTCCAAATAAGTGAGTCGTTTTTCTGACTCTCCGGGTCGCAACCGAACCAGCTCGTAAAGCGACAGACTCGGATTAATCATAATTTTTTTCGCTCTTTTCGCAAAATTTTCGAAATTGTACCAATGTTCGTCGTCCTGTGAATCTTCGCTCGCGAACTCCCTTCCATTATCCCTTACCTTCCTGAAAACTTTGTACTTGAGGAAAAATTTCATAATCGTCAGAACGTCGCTACGTTCCAGCTCGTATCCTCTTCTCTTCAGACAATCCAAGACGGCCAGAGCACCAGATTCTAGTCGCAATTTAAAACCATCCCAGTAGTCATCGAACCACCTGTCGAATCTCTCGTCAAGGTGACTCTCGGTAGGAAAAACAAAACTCGACAGATCAGCGCCTAAATCTAAAAATGTATCGACGGCATCCGGCATGAAACTCGCCACGGCCCATTGCAACGGGGTCCGGCCCAACTTGTCACGGGCTTCCAATTGTAACGATCGATTTTGATCTCCGATGATCTTGAAAAACATCTTCAAAAATTCACGATCTTCGTCTTCGTAAAAATATTCCCACTTGTAGATCAAATGCAGAGAAGTGAATCCTTTCTCGTTGGGCAGATTCGGGTCGGCACCCCTTCTCAGCAGCATCAGTGCCACTTCGTTGTTATTCATGTTCAGAGCCACGTGTAACGGCGAATCGCCTGTTTTTTGCACGCGGCAGTCGAGATCATGCTCGAAATCGAGAAATTTTCGGACAATGTCGTCAAGTTCCAACTCGGAAGCCACGTGCAAATGCGTCAATCCAGATTCGTCGGTGTAGTTCGCGTCGAATCTGTTGTATATTTTAAAAAGATCAGTGACCGCCGGGGTGAAGTAGAAACTGCGTCCACGAACGTAATGCAGTGCAGTGGCGCGACGCAACAGTGGCTTGCCGTTTTCGTCTACGTTTGGCTCGTCTTTGTAACCCGACTTTTTCACAAATCTTATGATCGGAATTTCACGTATTCTCCCGCTTTTTTTCACGAATTCCTTGACATCCTCCGTAAGAAGCCAATCGATTTCCTCGGGCCGAAAGATGTCTCGAAGATTCGGTCGTCGACCCTTCCAATTTTTTATTAAATCTTCAAGTTGATGGTAAAATTTCCGACGCTCTTCTTCGTTTTCCCAATTCAATTTTTCTCTTAAGCACTTCAGTTTTTCAAAGTTGATTTTGCCCAAGTGATCCCATTGTTCGGCGCTGATTTCTTCGCCTCCGCTACTACATGAACTATCATCGGATTCGTCACTGGACGAGGACATCGTTCGGCGCACTCAAAGTTCGCACGGGAACACAATTTGTTATTACGGAAGATATAGTTTAATTTTTTTACGAGATTCACTACAGTTGAAATCGATCCAATAACTTTATGTGCTCGCGCTGCGACGTCTCAACGTGTATTGAACTGAATTGCTCAACGCGCGCGGTAGGCACGGCACTGCCATCTGCATCATATATCCGCCACTCGAGGCTTGAAGCAATAACGGCAGAAAACAAACCGAGATGTGGCATGCAGGAACGTGTTGACTGATGCTCGATATATATAGGTACATGTCATGATGAGTCATGAGAGCAGCGTTCAAGTATTAATTTGTAAACTACAATGAGAGTGGATTAACCGAGATCTTTGTATTGTAAGATGACAAGACTTTCGAAGATTGTGCTTGATTTTGAGCAAGGATTTTTTCTTCTTACAGTCTCTTTCATAATTCAAGTGATTAAATTGTTCACGCTGTCCGCGTGAACGTTTTTAGAAATGGTAAAATTTTGTAAACTTCGATTCTTTATTACGAATGTCTTTTGGCACGTATCACATGCATAATGCGGTACTATTGCTATTCATTATCGATTCGAAGTAGGCGTTCAGATTAGACTTTTTTGAAAATGGCCATCCGCAATTTTCACAGATAGTGGCAGATTATGGAGCTCGTCAACCACTGGAATTATTATTAAAAATTTTTTGATATATCTGAGGATTTATTTACTGAATGTTACCGATAGTTATTCTGGAATACTAAGTTTTGGAAAAGTAGAAAAATTCCTCGAAGAAGTCGGTCGAAAAGTAAGAATTTCAAATGATTAATCGGTACTTTAATTTACCTTCAGTTATAATATCTTTAATCACAGTTGTTAATTTTCAATACAGAGGGTAGAGTATAGCACAGTCAGTAAACGTTGAGACGGCTCGGTGTCAACAGAGCGGAAGATCGTATCGACCGCGGCGAGTGATTTTCGCGGCGAAAATGAAAAAATATTACAGTTTCGTATAATTCGTTTGGTCGCGAGTGCGCAAAATGTCGACCCAAAACGACCTAATCGACAAGCAATTTTTTTTGAAATTTTTGAAAAAAAGATATGCAGCGACCGATTGGGAGAGCGAAGAAGGGCGAAGCAAATTTTTCTATGGAATACACGGTTTATTCTCACATTGGAGGGGCCAACTTCCGGCCGACCTCCGGGAGATATTTCTTCCCAATCGCTTCTCGGTCGATCGGCTTCTCACGGAGGCTTTGTACGAAGGTGACCATCCGAAGGCTCTCGTCGACTTTGTGGTCAGTACCGGCTACAGGGACGAGCCCGAGCTGGATCGAGACGGCAATCCACTGTTGCGTCGCACCACTGCGCTGCACCTCACCTTCAAAAGTCGACACCCCCACAGGACGGAAGTGGCCCTTGAGCTCTTTAAAATTTACCGGGCGAACTACGTCGACGAGGACGGATTGACGCACTACCACGTGGCCCTGTGGTTCGGCTTCGACGAGGTCATCGAGAGATTCCGCCAACTGCAGCCCTCAGGGCCCGGCCGACTCGGGGGCGATCCTCTGCTGCATCGGGCTCTGGGGGACGAAAACACGGACCTGGTGGAGCGACTGCTCGGCCGATACGACGCCGATCCGAACGAGCTAGATGCCCAGCGGGGAGCGACTCCGCTGCTGAGTATCGTCTGGAGACAATTACCCTCGGCTTACGTCTTTGCCCGGCTGATATTCGAGGTCTGCTCCCGTCCCGACGTCAATCAGACCGTCCAAGTGGATGCCCGAGACTGGTCGGGTAACACGGCGTTGCACTGGGCCATGGACAGCGGCGACCCACGACTGATCGAGCTGCTGCTGAGACAGGGCGCCGATCCTAATTTAGCCAACGCAGAGGGATCGACTGCTCTGCACGTCGTTTGCCGGAGAGACGCAGACGATCGAGCGTCGGTGACGAGGTTCTTCGAGGTCTGCGGCGAAATCCAACGGGAGGTGCGGGTCGACGCTCGAGATCGGTGGGGCCGGACACCGCTGCAGTGGGCCGTGGCGAGACTCCTGCCCGAGGCAGTGGCTGTGCTCCTGGACAATGGCGCCGATTTGTCGCGATTCGTCTTTCCCACCGAGAGGCACTTGGCCGAGATTCCGCAGTCTCGCCTCTTGGCGAGTTGGCTCCGGGTCATCCTGCGCCTACAGGCCGGCGCCTTGGCCTGCCTCGAGCAGCTCGAGGGAAGAGGATACGAGCTGCAGAGGAGCGACGCCACGTCCGTCATGAGACTGATCGGCAGCCGCGAGATGTTCCAGAAGCCGATCGACGTCGAGGAGTTTTTCGAGGACTACGCCGAGTTCGAGATCGAGGCGAGACGCACCGAGGTACGCAGTGCGGGCCCGCGCCTGACGCTCCACGACCTGATCCATTTGCCGCCGGGAGAAGAGGCGACGAGTCGATTCGCCTACTCGGATTACGTCGATTTGGCCGAATCGAGAAGCGCCGAGTCGTTCAGGGTTTGGCAGGTGCTGCCCGACGACGACTATAAAATTCGGGAGGCTTGCGAGGAGCACCTGAGCGAGGCCATGGCGAGAGGATTTTTCCGGCGGTGGGCACTCGAGGCTTTCTGGGGGCTGATACGCCATAGGCTGCCTATCGAGTGCTGCCAGATTATCCTCCAGCATCTCATGAACGAACATTTGTATTACATTTGCTTGGCGGCTGCGGGTCGTGACTGGTAACGTACCTCGATCAAAGTGTTTTTTTCATTTCCGACGTCGTTAAAAATTGTATACTCTGCATATTACATATGTTTTATGTATATTATGTTACAAATGTGTTTTGTATATTTCAAAATTGTATAATATTTTGCGTTTTAATCGAATAAATGAGTTTACATTTATGATCAATTTTAGACCCTTATTCAGATGCATAATCCATGAAAACGCAACTCATCCGGTCAAATTCAAAACATTCGAGTCGTGTAAAAATGAGATTTAATAAAAAAATATGTTATTTTAATTGATCGTTACTAATATAGCGAACCAAATCTAACTATTGATAAATCAATGGTAAATCTTCAATTTAAGTTATCAACAAGAGATTTTGCTGAGAGTATTTTGCATTGCACCATTTACTGTTTATACGTGTCACTCAAACATGTCACAATTTACATACAGATATTTTTTGGTGCTCATTCAATAAAATTAATTTTCCTACGAAGTCTTGTTCAAAATCTCATTTTCGAGCTTATCATGTAGCTTTCCTTATGATGAGGCAAAAAAAATGTAATGCTCAAGTCTGCAACACCTAGATGCCTTGGCTTTATTGATGTTTTATTTCATCCTCTGTTACAGCAGCGCGTGGCCGCCTCCCCACTCCCGCAGTAGCATCCATTTGCGATTTCGAGCTCGAGCTGTCAACACGCGCGACACAACTTGATTTCTCTCGTCTCCATCGTCGATTCTAAAAAGTTATTCATTCGTTTATTACAAAAAACAACGTTAAATATAGATTGCCTGAGTAGCTGCATTTGATTTATGATGTCTTCTCGGGGGATAATTGTTAGCAGTGTGAAATGTAAATTGATTTTTTGTGACGCGAAACAATGTAATGTGAATTTCAAAGTTGAATACATCTTTGTAAAATATTTTCTTAGTTCGTTTTACAAGAGCAAAGATCAAAATAATATGAGTCACAATATGCGTGGTTACGAATTTTCATCAAATTGATAAATGTAGACGATTGCGTGAGAAAATGTAGTAATTATTAAGTGCGTCTCGCAGTTGTACGCGTACCACATGTGTTGGTTAAAATAATAAAGATCGTATGGTTTTTTTTATTAAAAGGACGATGAAATTTTGGCCTTTCTTCGCTCGTAATGAGCTACTACTATGCGCAAACAAGTACAAAATTACAACGCGCAAGCTTTTGAATATATTCCACAGTTTGTTCATTTACAATAGTCTAAAATGATAATGATTGGCTAGCTGCTGCTAAAAAGAGAGATAGAAAAGAGTCGAATTTGTCATTTGTTCTAAGGTGTCATAAAAAATAGATTAGTCGCATGCAAAGTTTTTACTTCGCGATCGCTCATTAACAGGAAAATCAAAATTCATTAATTACGTTGAAAATCTGTCGACTTGATTCGTGAGTAGAAAAAATCGATGATGTACTTTTTTATTTTTTTTATTTCAATTGCAATTACAGCGCCATCCATGTAAAGGCGTTATCACAATTATTGTTTCTATATCTGACATATGTATCGAAGCTTAATGTTATTATTATTTTTATGTTATTTGCGTACATTCATTATTTTTCACATTTATCCGTACATGACTGGATATTGCGCATCTCGCTACAGTTTTTTTTGTATCGTTGAAAAATTGTCAAATCGTAAACGATGTTTATAATATAACGTGCGAATCATCACGAGCTTTGACCCTCGTCAGCCAAACAAATGTGCCGTAAATCTTCGTTATCTACGTAATCGATGATTATTTCACAACAGAGAATCGGCAATCGGTAGCGGCCCGTCAGCTCCAACAAAGAATCCAACGCCCACGGCCGGCAAAATAAACTCGCCAGTTTCTCGCGGAGACTCCGCGCCACGTCGTGCAGCGTCAGATTCAAGCTCGCCATTATCTCGTTCACTCCGCTCGCGAACTCCTCGTTCCGGCGAGTGTCTCGCGACCAACGTTCCTCGAGATCCGCCGACTTCTCGAGCAGTCCGTGCTTGGCCAACGCGTCCATGATCGTCAGCGCGTCGCTCCGTTCCAGCTCGTATCCTCTCTGCCGAAGGCGTCCGACGACCTTCATGGTGCCGGACATCAGTTTCAGATCGAATTGAAGTCGGTGATTGGAATGTTGCGCCTCGAATCCCCGGTCGAATTCGTCCGCGGTGGGGAAAACGAAGCTCGACAGATCGGCGCCACGATCCAGCAGTGCGTCCACGGTATTCAGCGAGAGATTCGTCACGGCCCAGTGCAGCGGCGTCCGGCCTTTCTTGTCCCGCGCGTCGATGCGCACCGGCTGATTCAGCTCGTCGTTGATCTTGAAAAAAAACTCCGTCAGGCCCTCGTCGAAGTATCGCTCTCTCTTGCAGATGACGTGCAGAGGAGTCTCGCCGTCCTCGTTGGACAAATTCGGATGGGCGCCGCGTCTCAGCAGCGATTCGGTGGCCTTCTTGTTGCCTCGAGTCAGAGCCAGGTGCAACGGTCTGTTACCCTTTTTGTCCCGTGAGTCGATCTGCATCGTCTGCTGAATGTCGTCGTTGATCCGAAAGAACGAATCCATCGTGTCATCGTCGTAATTATTACAAATGACGTGCAGAGGAGTCGAACCCTCTGCATTGGCTAGATTCGAATGAGCACCTCGTCTGAGCAGCAATTCAAACATCTTCTTGTTGCCGCTGACCAGAGCCAAGTGCAATGGCGTATCACCTGCGTCGTTTTGGGCGTTTATCTCTACCGGTTGATGTTTCTCGTCGTTAATTTTGAAAAACAGCTCCACCAATTCCAAACTTTGACCATCGAAAGATTCCTCTCTCTGACAAATGATGTGCAGAGGAGTCGATCCCTTTTCGTCGGTTATATTCTGATCGGCGCCGTTTCTCAGCAGCGATTCGACCTTCTCTTTGTCGCCCTGACCAGAGTCGAGTGCAGCGACGGATCCTCGTCTGCTTCTTGCACGAGCTCGAGTAATCCGTCGTTTGTCATAGTCATTGCTCTGAGCACAATCGCACGATCGTTTGTAATTCAAGCTATTTTATTTCACGACACCCACTGTACCGTTGCAATTGATGCGATGTTTCTTTGTTTACGCTGCGGCGTCGTAACGTCCACTGAACTTGTAGATGAAGACTCGACAGTGTGGATCACATGCCGTTGCGGCACTGTCGTCTGCGCCCTATCCCGACACATTCTCGAAAACACGTCGAGTCGCGCGCCCGCGTGCATCAATATTATTGAACATAAACATGCATCGCACAACACAAAAAGAGACACCGGATATTATGAATGTGTGAAGTTTTGCATGATTTTGACTTACGTTCCATGATTTATTTTGCTGCGTCGAATATGTTTGATGATGAACAATAAGCAAGAGCTCCACTAATTTTACTTGCATTGCTTTTACCTGATAATAGACTTGATCTTCGGGTCGACACGCCATATATGACGTCACGATGTTTGATCCTAATGCTCGAAAGTAATTCAGATATGTCACACATGTTTTCGTATGTTTTCGTTCAAATGATAAAAATCGTATGAGTGTACGCAAGATTTTTTAATTCAAGAACAGTGAGAAAAATCGGGAGTCCATTCGCACACGAGTCTTATGTGCTGTACTTTACCTGTCTCACGTGCAAGCATTGAGAGATGTATATAGTATAGGTACAGCTTGGGTATGGCATAACAGCAAATTTGATGTTTATAAGCTCAAACATATTATGTAATATATTTTATATAAAAATAATATTGGACTCGAGTTCATTGAGAGGAAATTTTCAAGCATTCAAATGTACTACCATGGCCGAACTTTAGAGTTGCGATTTATGATCCGAGACGTAAAAAATGTATACGCATACAATGTCAACGACGTGCCCGCCCCCGTCTATATCGCAGCGGCTACAAAGTTTGCACGTCGTACGAATTTCGCGCTGTCGCGTGCTATACTACGAAGTCGTCCGAAGCGCCGCCACTCGAATGACCTATGAATGTTATAACGCAGAAAATTTGATTTGGACCGAAGGCGAATGACTGCCTCAGTTTCTCGTGCCGAGTCCTTTGTTACAACGCCGCGCGTAAAAAGTATACCAGCGACAAAATCTCGTGAGTTTTATTTGCGCTTCCGAGTCCGACGCGGCAACACGCACGACACTCTAGTTCACTCCACGCACGACACTCGGGCCCTGCTTGATTTCTATTATCCACATCGTCTATTCTAACAAAAGGTATTTATTCTTGTATTACAAAAAAATAACGTAAAACCTTGATCGCTTGTAGTGGATTTTATTATTTTCTTACAAAAAATAACGTCAAACATCGATTGGTTGTAGTTGCATTTGATTTAAGATGTCTTTATAAAAAATAATTGCTAAATTGATTGATGTTTTATTATTTTGTTACAAAAATAACGTTGAACATTGATTGCTTGTAGCTGCATTTTATTTTTTTCGGGATATGATTGCTAAGCTCAGTAGTGTAAATCGATCTTCTGTATACCGCGATGAATGTGTGCCTTCGAGTCTCGCGTTCGTTTGAATAAAAGATTGAGATGTATCTTTTCGAAAATTGTATCATATCGATACCATCTTTATAATGGATCGCCGTTCATGTGTTTGCAGAGTCCACAACATGCAGAGGAATACGCTCACAGCTTTACTTATCAGTGTGACGTTGCTGCTGCAGCAGCCCGATTCCGTCGACGCCGTAGCGACTTACGGCTTATGTCAAGCTGGCTGCGCTGTCCTGGTCGGCGCCTGTTACGCCGCAGCCGGTTTCACGTTCGGAACGGTAGCTGCCGCCGTCGCTCCCCCGGCCATCGTAGCTTGTAACACAGCTTTTGGGACCTGCTCGGCAATGTGCGCCAAACTTTTACTTCTTCCTATCCTATAAATTCTTATTGGTTTCCTTTTTTATTGATTTTGCGACGTTACGAAATTTTTGTATCTTATTCACGTGACTAACGTAGAAAACTCATGAGTACTTTTGACGATATCAGAGAGTAACGTTAAGTAATTAACAAAAGTTCAGTTAAATACCTTTGTTTGGTACACATTTATGACAGTTATTATAATATCATGTCAACAAGTTCGCCGATTTAATTCTATTTTTAAAAGTGTTAATAAATTATCAATTCGTCTGATTTAAAATAAAATAATTTGAAAATGTTCATTACAATGTTTGTTATACAAATCGTCTCATTATCGTGACATTATCGTGATTCCATAAACTTAAGGTCTGTCAGTTTGTAAACAATAAGAACGTTTAAATAAAATACGATGTATAACATGACTTTCTTCAGAAACTTACATAGGCATGGATCTTATTGAATTCCTCATTAATCCTAATAAAACCACAAGTACCTTCGCAGCCCTACAATTACTGAGTCTATCGATTTCGAGAACATTAATGCAAATTCAAGAATAATTAATGGAAAATTTTGAATTTTGTTTTGTCGCGCAAATGTGCCGGCAGTCTCGACAACGCAAACGATAGGCAAGACTTTTCGCGTTCGATAGTTCAACGCAGTTGCGATATTCGCGCGCTATGCCACAAGTGCTCGATCGCATAAATTCTTCTTTGTATTTGTATACATCGAGCGATTTGAATGTAAGTTTTTTTCGCGACAGTCGCAACACACGGGGAAAATAGATCGCGAGAATTTTGAGGCGCTGCAGTGTATATCGTTCAGTCGTAAAATTCGGTTGTGTTCGTCTGTACAGATTTCGCGAGGACGAACGAAGGATACAGCATCTTGCAGTGAAGTATCGACAGCCGTTGGCGATCGAAGCTTTGTTGGTTTTCGTTAGACCATCAGTGGTGTGATAAGTCCGCTACGATTTCTGCTACTCATACTTTTTAAAGGTAATTTTTATTCGTCATTCTTTTTGCATAGAAATTATTGTTGCTACTTTTTTTATAATCTACGCTCGTGCCGACCGAAATGAATTATTTATTAAAAACGTGATATAAGTAGTAGGTCAATTTCCACGCGTATACAAAATACAAATTCCGTAGCCATCCGTTTAAATGTTCAACGTTCTCGCGAGTATAGCAATTCAAAAAAACCACTTAATTTTTCTCCGCTCGATCATCCAACATCGATCGCCTGCAGCTGCATTTAATTTAAGATTTGTTCTTGGAAAATGATCGTTAAATTTATTATTTACCATTATTGATGCATCGACCAAACATTTCTATGCTGCTTTTGATACGACCTTTAAACGAGATACATCATTCGTATTTTCGCAGATGGACTTCAAACAATTCTTTATCATAATACTTTTGGCCGTTTTGTCGTCTACCGGCCTTAGGTACAGGTTTGCAGAGAACTGGGAATTCGTTATAAACGTCAACTTGTTGGGGCTGTATGGGTTCCGCCGACTTTTTCAAGACATATCATTTCATTCAATTATCTCTTCATCTCGCCTTGATAATGTGACAGATTTGATGCAGATGGCAGCGCTGCATGGAATGTCCAGTCGTTCGTACTTCGTTGATCGTTCGTTCAGTTCAGTACAGGTTAAGACGCGTCGCCACCACGATAAACAAAGAAACATCGCAGCGAATGATTTTCGCGACAAAAAAGTGAAATTATCTTCTTAAAAAAAAGTGTGTTTGTGGCTTGTGCGTGAGTGCGTATAGCGTGCATCGATTTCGAACATGGAGCAGCTTGGCAATGTCTGCCTCAAAAGATTGAAGAGATTACGAGAAAAAGCGAACTGGAAGACCAAGAAAGAGCGTCTGGAACTTTTCAATCAACTTCACGACTTGATCTACAATTGGACGGGCAAACTTCCGAATCTCTGGGACGTTTTTCTGCCCGAACAAATGGATTGGATTCTCGTGCAGGATATCAAGAACTATTGCAAAAGAAACAGCAAACTGAGTGGAGGCTCCATCATAGAATTCGTTATCAGAGCCGGTTACAAGGACAGGCCTGAAATAGATGACGATGGCAAGCCTTTGTTGCGTCGTACCACTGCGGTGCATTATGCTGCTAAAAAATATGAGTACTCATTCATCCATGATCTGTTTAAAATATACGACAGATTCGATGTGAACTACGTCGACGACGATGGATTGTCGCATTTTCACGTGGCCTGCCAGCTTGACTGTACCGACGTGGTCGAGGAATTTCTTGAGCTCGGTCAGGATCCGAATAGCCGCGTGCAACAAACAGGCGATTCACCGCTGCACTCGGCTGTGAGCACCTGCAGAGATTGTATCGAGGTGATAGAACTGCTGATAGAAAACGGCGCCGATCCCAATTCAGCCAACGAGGAGGGGACGACGGCTCTGCACATGATTTCAAACAGAATCTTCTTTTACGAATACGTCTTTCGCGACTTTGTGGAGGCGTTTTTCAAGATTATCGAAGATCGACGTCGAACGATACAATTGGAAGCTCGGGATAATCTAGGCCGAACAGCGCTGGAATTGGCCGTGGCGACACTTGCGCCGGAATTGGTGAGAATACTATTGGATCACGGTGCTGATGTATCGAATCTCGTTTTTCCCACCGAGCTCGGCGAAGGAGTTGACAAGATGTTTGATGAATATTACGATGTTTTCAAAATGCGAGTAGCATCGCGTGTTCTCGATTGTCTCGGACAAAGAGGATACGAACTGGACCGAGGCGGCATCCTGGCAGTTATGAAGTTATTCCTAAAGCATGAATGTTTCAGAAGGTCGAGCGAGGCGACAGCATTTTTTGACCAATATGTACTTGATGGCCGAAGTTATCAGGCACGTGCAAAAAAGATGATGATTAATCCGAGTCTGTCGCTCCACGAGCTGGTTCGGTTGCGACCCGGAGAGGCTGAAAAACGACTAACTTATTTGGACTATTACGAGTTTATGACGTCGCAAAATATTCGTAATATCCACCATTCGGAGAGAAAAAAATACGTCTGTACAGCGTACCTTAACGAGATAATGGCGAGAGGATTTTGTCGACGAGGGGCACTGGACTTTTTCTTGGAGTTGACGCACTACCGGCTGCCAATTCTCTGCTGTGAACGGATCTTTGACTATTTGGGCAATGAAGATTTATGTCGTATTGGCTTGGCGACTGACGTCCGAACTCCAAAGTTCGTAACGGCTCATTAATTTTTCGGCGTTGCTAAAGGCACGACCACATATGTTGGCCGCTAGTGATTTTTGTCCTGCTCTTATTTAAGGTTGGGTCTAGTAAC